ACATTATGCATCATATGAATTTAACTCTGACTACAAAGATACTTCTATTGTTGTTATAATAGAGAAAATGTAGTTTATAATAAAGTATAATTATTGGTATTTTATTCAAAAAATACCGAAGCGATGGATCTGGGTGTTTGTCTTAATTGATTGTTATGTAATGTTTAAAGTCCAACAATGAGGACTGGACGGGATTTCAAGTCCGCGCAATTAGTTCCAGTCCGAGGCTTTACTTCATGTGGTACAAATTACAATCAGGGATTGGCTGGATACCTCATGAATAATTAATGAGTATGAGAAATTATATTATAGMAGGGARGCCCTTTGTTTCTAGAAATTCAAATTGACACTCACTACCTTTCATCCTTCTTTTCTTAAATTTCCTTGTTTTACTCAACCTTTCAGTCCGTAGTTGGAAGTAGGTGCAATGGCTACATAGTCATCAATAGGGCTCAAAATTTGTTAGGATTCCTTTTCTAAATGAAAGAAAACAAAAAAATCTGAATTGGATTGATTGTAAAAGGTAACAAAATCCTGTTTTTCATACATCATTTCTGACACCAACACGTGCACGAGCCATAATTCCCATTTTGATGTTTTGGAAAAAGGGTTTATATAAAAGTTACAAAACAAGAGGCGATGATATGAAGGGAGAAATGTGCTATTTTTGGGACTGGTATATGCAAAGGTTAAGGTAGTGCGTTCAGTCTAGATCCTCCTCTGCAACTATATTTCATAGCAGCCTCCTCTGCATGAACTTCTGGTCTTGAAAGGGCACAAGACACTGACAGTAGAGAAGAAGGCAAAGGGAATAGCATACACCACCTGTAGATGGAGCTATGTATGTGCACTCCATGTACAATATATTTTGATAAATGAATGTCTAATGTAGGACCCCATTTTTTATTGACTTTTTTGATATTGTCTGATAGCCTTTACTCTATGAATTAGATATACTTACAGTACTCTCTAATTCCATTATGATACTGTTAGACTTCACAAAATGCTTCATAAATAGATTTACACTTTGTCTAGCATAAAGTTGAATACATCTTTCATATTATTATGTACATGCAAGTTTGTCATAGCCTCTCTGACCTCTATTCTGAAATTCATCTATGGGTATAATGTACTGTATTATAAAATAAAACAATCGCAAGTGCATGACATACTGTCTTTGGTAAATCAATAAAATACTAGCATGGATTATTAAGCAAACATTTGTTTTATGCTTAGCTAAAATTTATATTGGTTCCAAGGAACTGAGACACTTTGTAGTGTTGCACTTGATCAGTGGCTGGTTAACGCTTAAAGGTCTATGTGTACCCAAGAACCTTTGCAATCACATGTTTTGTTTTACAAGTGATCTTTGTTGAAAGATGCTTTCTGATTGGTTCAAATCAAAGTTGTCACTTATTTTTTGTAAGTGAGAAAATTGCACAAGAAAGGTTCTTGGTTCTTGGCTTCAAGCTACACTGGAATTTTAACTTGTTTTTAACTTCTAAAAAAAAATGAAAGTATTATAATTTTTTTTATCAATCTTTACCAGCTATTTTCTTTTGTACCATTAGGGCAAACACACAATTTTATATTACATGTATTCTGTTCCACATGGTTTATTGACTTGTTTCCACTGGTCTTCACACCAATGATGATAAATGGGGCACATACCCTGTTAACAGTCTCCATGATGTAAAGAGTTGATTGAGAACAAGCTGAAAAATGCTTCTGGTTTCATCAGCCATTTCCATTATAGAGCGGATTTCGTATGACGGCAAAAAACATGATACTTTCGCGCTGTAACCGTACCGTGCCGTAGCGGTGATGAATTGTTTAATCTTTATTTCTATTTGGAATCCTAGAAGGCAAGGTTCTGTGACCGCGCCAAGCTGTGTCCGTGTTGTGATCCGTGCTGTTGCACAGTCATGTGAAATCCGCTCTAAAACATTACGGTTATGGTAGTCAGATACTTCTGTAAGTGCTGAATCACACATTCAAAACCAGTTGAAACATTATCCATAAACTTTGATGAAGGCAAAGCAAAGGTAAAAGTCAAACATAACTTCTTCAAAGTCTCTCTGAGTTTTGTAGAATCTGGAACAGTTTCAGTCACAGTCACATTGTTAACAGTTTTTGCCCAGGTTGCTTTTATTATTTACTCTTTATTTTCCTTCTTTGATGAGTTGTTGTCTTGGTTGTCTTCACCCTGAACACAAAGCAAGCTCTCTTCATCAGTTTCTTCACTGATAGATGTTGCAACAGGACGCCCATCTGGTCCTAACTTGGCTGTTTTAATAACTCCAAGGTTATTTAGCTCAATGATCAAATTTCTTAATTTCTCAGCCTCTTCGATCTTCTCTTCTTCTGTCATTGAATCCAGTGGATTTGGCCTCTCGTGAGGGATTGCACCTGATGAAGTAGAAAAATGCTCTGACATTAAGAAACTGAAGGGAGTTTGAAATAGTTTTACTTTCAAGTATGTCTTTGAGCAATCAACTTCAATCATGTGTTTTTCTGCCCAATAAAAAAATGGGGAATGGTGGCTTAAGTGAAATGGCAGTAAGTCTCTTAGTTGTTTAATATGAAACTCACCTAGAATTGGGTCAATCTGGTCCTTGACTTCCAAGTATTCTTCTGTGTCAGAATCTTCTTCCTCGGATGAATAATCTCCCTCATCTCTCCTTACACACAGTCCCCTGCGGGCCAACAAACCTGCAGCATTGCCATAACCAGTATACTTAATCAACCTGTCTGCATTTTCCTTGCACAAGATGAACAAAAACTCTGCAGCCAGATCCTAAATATACAAGAAAATTAATTTTCATAATCATGCAAATACTTGAAACATCTTGATAACAAAGTACAAATTCATCAAATCTATTGAGAACTGAAGGAAAATAATGAAATCAGAGGTGGTACATGTAATTGTAAGAAAGTGCTACTTCTTGAAATGATCTTAGCATAGCCCGTAAAAATAGTTAAAACATTATATAGAATACTCCTTGAATCTGATCTAATATGCGTGTTTTCCAACTTTTAGATTGAAATAAGATTTTTTTAAAAATTCATAGCAGAAAGTTGTCATTCTTAAAAAAACATAATTATAGTCTCTTTCACAGTTCAATGCAGGATCTTGAAAGTTAGCCCTTGAAGTGAGACACTGTTGAGAATACAATATGATAGATATATGTCAGTAACTATCATTCTGTAGATATGAAAGAGGGTTAATTACTATCACTGCACGTACTCAATGGTTACCTCCCTTCAATGTAATTAAAGCAGGGCTACCGTTCAAGATAGCACAGGAAACTGTTAAGAAAACTACTGGAATTGAAGAACATCTCAAATACCACAGGATTATCATGATACTTACAGCTAAATCTGTAACAGGAGAGGTCATGAGTTTCACCAGTTTGTTCCTTATCTTATGCCCTTCCTCTGGCCTTTTGTGAGTGACTTTACCCAAAGGTGGTAGAATCTCAAACTTTAAATACTTTCTGATGATTCTATTTCCTCTGGATGCACAGCAAAGTGCACTTAGTATAGATATAAGGGAATCCTGTTCTTCATCATGGGTTATTCTCTCATCAAGGATGTTCAATATGGCATGGATTGAATACATGTTGTAGCACTGGAAAAGAAGAAAACTTTAAGCAAAAAAATTTGAAAGTCAATACAGGTATGTTGTTATACAACTTATTAAGATATAAAATCTCTTCAGTATTAGACAATGACTTGAACAGAAATATGAACATATTTATATTGATAATCGCCTATGGTTTTTAAATTTTACAATTAAGAAGGCTGAACATTTTGATTAGTTTGTACCGAACGTTTTCGAACTTAACAGTTCATCATCAGGGATTTCGGTACAAACTAATCAAAATATTCAGCCTTCTTAATTGTAAAATTCATGAACATATTTTATTATGCTCAACAACTTACCAAATAGTACTGCCTAAACGATGGACTTATAATGCTCAAATCATGATGAGCTTTCAGAGCTCGACTGATCAACTTTGGAACTCTCCAGTACATAAACTTTAAGCACTTCTTTGGCAAACTAGTCAGGACATTGATTGCTTGGTTATGAACACTCTCTGAGCCATGTGTTATCTTTCTGTTGTGAGCAAATAAACTGCATATGATAAGGGCTACTCTTTCATAATGTTCCATTGTGTCATTATCCAGCTCTTTAGGTAATGCCATTGTWATGTTGAACAGTACTTTTAARGTCTCAATGGCCAAGCGTATTTGTTCTTCATCCATGTCATAGGTGTGTGGGGATTTTTCTATCATAAACCTGAAAAAACAAACAAATAACAATACAATACTCCATTCTGAAATTTAAAGCGACCACTGGTTTATTTGACAACAGATTCTCTTGCATAAAGACCTTACTGAAAACCAAAGAAAGAGTGAGCAAATGYTGTTATTACAATAGYCTTGAAACTCTGYATTTTCCAAAGTTGAGACTAACCCTGTATTCCCAATAGACACAMGGTTTAAGTCTTCTGGGAATACAGTGTTAGATTCACCTCAGGGAAAATGTAAATTGTTAGCTTTTAATGGAGACCTGTGGGTAAAAAAACTGAATTCAAACCTTCAATAATACAACAAATACATGTACTTTCCCTCCCTCCCCCCACCCTAGGGCTAAAGATTAATGGCTCTGCTATAGCATACCTCTGAATGACACTCATTTTTTCTAATGAATCAGAATCCACCTCTCCACATCCATCATTAGCACCTGCAGCATGCACTCTATCTCTGCCTGTCTGTCCTGGAATAACTGTGTCTAGRCARTGAGTCAGTGTGCAGACGCCGCCATGATTGACAACTGTGATGCGCTCTGAAGGATCATATGCTGTAAGAAGGAAAAGCATTCTCAAATCAAAATAGCTGATGTCAGATGMAATTTCATCGCGACTGAACCAAAGTTTGGTYCGTTTCACAAGACCAGCTGAGATCTGATAGGCCATACAATGATCCCGTGCCATTTTATTCTGAAATGATATGTTGCACAAGCATTTCAACGCCTCAACAATCGTATCTTTATTGTCCTTTGTTGCCTGAAAGTCCATAATAATCTGCTCGTTGCGATCAGACGCCATCGGTTTTGTTTTACGGCCCCCAACTTGTTGTTCTTTTGAAACTGCAGCTGTGGTSCCTTCAGCRTTGTGAGATGTCTCACCCTCGCCATTTTCTGMCTTYTTTTCYTCTTCGGGTTCAACATATAAGCCTGCTAAGATRAACAGCGTCTTACAAGCAGATTCAGAAACCAAAAGACCCAAACCATTTTTATCACGGCTTAAAATACGAAGAGCTGAGAGTGMTTTCACTTGRAACTCTGTGCTRTGACTTCGATCGAGCAATTCCTTCAAAATTGCGTCTATGAACTCCCTTCGCGAACAAACATCAGTGTCATCGAACGAGAATGTAGAACGATAATCCTCGCTGAAAATTTTTAACTCTTTTATGAGATCAGATTCATTTTTCGATGTTTTCAGAACCTTTAAACAACCCTCCATGACAGTTTTTGCTCACTTATCAATTTATCAAAACATCGTACTAGCTTCGGCATTGAGCGTATCAGTCAATAACCGTTCGTCGATTATTTTTAAACTTTCCGAATTGGTTCCGGAAACTACATATCTTCATTCGTCGAAAGTCGATAATGATTCGGAACAGGAGGTCATTTTGCACGCTTTTCAAAAATTGTTTTTTTATCTTCGGCATTATTCTAACCTGATTTCCTCAAATATTCAGCTGTTTTGACAGGTGATCTTCTTTAGTTTTCAAAATATACAACACAAAAGACTCCCAGCTTTCGCACAAGTTTTTTAAGGTTTTTAAACCTTAAAGATGTCGGACACATGGTCGGACATTCAAGAGCACAAGCGACGTCAGGAAAGTCTACGTGAACGTCTTGCTAAAAGAAGAAGAGAGCGACAAGGAATAAATGTTAGCGAAGGAGATGGTATGTGTGATAATTTGTRAAGGAAGTTATCCTTGAATAATTKTAAGATCTAAGCTCATGGATCACTTTGACAGCTATCATTCATGTTTATATGTATGTGAGTGATGGCAATGAAAGAATAATAWGCGTCAGTGCATAGTTAGAAGACCGATTTCTTGTATTTCTTTATCAAAGAGATAATTTACATTGTCTTTAAACAAAGTTTATATGCATGTATGTCTGTAAATGTTTGGGTTTCCTGTGTCATAGCGCATACAGTACCACAGGCATCCCAACGTAAATGATTTAAAACGTTGAATTTACTTTTCATACACAGGTTCAACGACCATGAACACAGCATTAAAGCGAGGTATCAAGGAACACTGATCATTACCCCTTGACACCTCTTTTCAATGCTTTGTTTGTGGTCATTGACATTGGGTATGGAAAGTTGTGAATACAAAAATATTTAGTGGAAATCTTGAAAAATTAAAGCAGCCATTATTTACAAGGTATTATTTCAGGTACTGCAACTCCCCCACCCTCCTCCCCACAGTCCATTGAGGAAACAAGCACAGCAGCAAAGGCAGCAGAGTTGGTTAAAGTAGATCCTTTATTGGAAAGTAACCTGATTGAATGCCTGTGGGATTCAACATTTATTTTACCTGTAGACTCACTAAATATCTTGAACCATTTGCTTAAAAATGTAAGTTTGTAGAATAATGCAAAATTAGGATGACGAAAATTAGGATGACAATGGGGACCTTATGCATCTATGATGAGAATTAAAATGATAATTATAGGGTAAAACAATAAACTGAGAAGCGATCAAATGTTATTTCTATAGCTTATTATTCAGAATTCATGTTGAATAGTCAATTTGTACCTACCTTTTTTGTGCARCAAAGCATGATGGGAGTTGTAGTTCTTGCGCTTTTTCATGTCCTTGCACCATCCCCAACATTAGAAAATSGGRWCTGGKTAGGACTYCRCACCTTGAGMTGTTAATATTGGTTGAAATAAGTCTATCATGGCAATAGTTTTATGAGTGAAGATTGTTCAATAGCTGCACTAGAAGACTTGTTGCTTTAATCATAACATTATCAAACTAGGTGAAAAGCAGTATCCCTCCAACAAGAGAAGCTGTTGAAAATTTGTTACAAAAGTTAGCTATTCAGGACTTTATAAGGTTGGTTAAAAGTTTAAACAATGGCCGGGTTTCATCCTGTGAGAGACTGGATACAAGTCCCTTAATTCCCACAATGTCAAAACTGATATAAAATTAAAGAAAGATCACAGTGTGAATAAAAAACTCACAAACTTTGATGTTAAGTGGATCAAATGTAAATGATTGGCAGCTTTTCAAAAATTCTAGTTTTTACGAAGAAATGTATCGGAATTTAGAAAAAATCAGCCCGGGATACAGAGTCCAGCATTCTATACATTTCTTTGGAAATTCTAGCGTTTTTGAAAGGCTGTAAATCATTTAATATTGACCTGATCAACGACAAATTCAGACAGTTGGTATTCCTCAATACATGTACATTCTTTTATTCTATATTGGTTGTTAATCCATCATATACCTAATCGGCTAACKGCATTTGTATGTACGCTGCCACCCAATTCAAATCCTGTCAGTGTGGGAAAAAACTTTTGTTTCTAAGAATTCAACTGTGAAATGAAAATAAAACAAACAATGAAACTTACTCCCGGGTGGTTTGAATTGGCTTGAAGCCAATAGATGAGGTGATGGTTTCGGCCACCATTTTGTTCCGGTAGGCAAAGTGTCGCAAAATAACAAGGAATGCAATCAATTGCAAACGTTAGATACTGCAAAAAGGAGTTAACTGGCAAAATTTGAAAGGCGTAATTGATCTAGAGAGCGAGTAAACTCATTTTTAGTTCTCCATACATTTCTTTGTATTTTTCACGCGCGTCACGCACTGATGACCCCAGAAATGATAACGAAATGTATTGAAATTACAAAGAAATGTATGGAGAACTAAAAATGAGTTTACTCGCTCTTTAGATCAAGTACGCCTTTCAAATTTTGCCCGTTAACTCCTTTTTGAGGTATCTAACGTTTGCAATTGATAATTCTTTCTGAATTTGAATTCAGCGAGAATTATTTGACATCGATTTCCCGGTCATTCCTTGTTATTTTGCGACAMTTTGCCTACCGGAACAAAATGGCGGCCGAAACCGTCACCTCATCTATTAGGTCTATTAAGGAACTTGTACCAAGTCTGCCACTGTATGAAATCTGGCAATTTTTCTTTTGATGGTCATATTTTGTTGATCTCTATTTCCATGCAAGAAACTGCAGTACCTTCTAATAATTGTAATTATATATTTAATACAGTAGGACTCTATGCTTTGCAATTTGAAAATAAATAGACTAGATAGTACTTCCGAGGACTGCCAAAAATGGTCATAGCTTTGTCTGATTTGGCAGTCAGATGAATTTTTCTTAATTGGTCAGTACAGAGTCCTATTACATTATATTTATCCACATATTAATACTACTGACTACTGTACATGTTGCTGTCCAACTTTGAATAAAATTGGACAGGTTCCTATTTAAGAGTTCATCCATCGTTTACCCATAACTGGATGTACGCAGGCTATATTTAGGATTAACAAGTGGATAATATATAATTATAAATGAAAGCAGTGCTAGCTATGTACTGTATGTATATTAAAAAGGAAGGGATCTTGTACTGATCTTGTTCAGTCATCCAACCTGACTGCTAATTTTTGATGCAGTAAACTCCAATAATATAATGCATAACACTGTATTTTGCTGTGTCAGCATCAAAAAAGGCACCATAACTGATGGCAAACCAGCAATTATAGTCACTGATAAGGATCACTCAAAGGTACRGCATGTTATTACCATTTTAAATTAGTTTTTGGTGGTCTATCTACATCCAAGCTTAGTGTAGATTATATTATAAATTATGACTGTACAATGATACAGTAAGCAACCTAAAATGATGCGTCAGTCATTAATTTATATAATACATTATGTTTTTTATGTGCTCTTGGATTGTTTGAGAAGCAAATTAAAGTACACGCACATTAATCATTGTTTTGTAATAGCCGATTTGCGAATTTCTTCTCAGTAGTCAAACTATAAAGCTCAGTCATGTGTGAAAAGTATTGCCTCGTCTTGATTACTTTGTGTGTGGCTACTGTGAAATTCGCAAGTTGGCTGTTGTTTTTTAATATTGTTGGCATCTATCTTTTTATAGCTTGATGCAGTTGCACAAGAACTCAATAAGGACACTGGTTAGTTATACAGTAGAAAGCTAAAATCTATATATTGATTTTGGATGCGATGTAGAATCTTTCCCAAGTGTTCAAATAATGTACTTTAAGGTGTTTCATAGTGGTTGACACTCCCGCGCACCTATCATTTTTAAACGGCCGTTTAACCAACTTAATCATACTCGATTTTCTTAAAACTAACAGGCAATGTTGTACTTAGTTGGAAAATTTTAAAACATGTATTTTGTTTTAATTTACTGCAAAAATAACAATTTTTTGGTAGAAAGAAAGAATTCAAAGAAAGCTGTTTTCCGGCCAATTTCTATGGCACCTAGAAAAACCAAAAGTACTGCGTTTAACTGTAGGTTATAGCTAATRATATATCTCAAAATCATGGAAATTCTTCAAGCCGATTTTGAGAAAAACGATTAAACATGTATATGCGTTGCGTTGTTGTGCTTTGACGAAGACGCTCACAATCGGCCCATATTCATGATAAAATTCCAACGCCTGAAGCTCAATCTCACAGCAAAAGATTTGTTTGGCTTATAAGATAATGCTGTACAAGTATAAAGTTATGTTTATTATTTTCAGTACATAGTAGTTTCTGTAGCGACTCTGAAAAAGTGTAGTTTTAGCGTTTTTCCAATTCATTCAAAACTGAGGCCAATTTTTTTTTGTTCTTAACTGAGTTGTTTCATCACTATATGGATAACATTGTTGCTAAGTTTCGATTGGATTGATACATTTTAACCTGGTCAAAAAAAATTACAAAGTTTGCTTCAAGACGCGTTCAAGAATTTATGTTTTGGCTGCATGGTCGACAGCGCACGAGAAAATGTTTTAATATATTCAGGCGGATGTAACGCATTCCGTYATGACATATTATGTACTGAAAATAATCACATCTTGAAAACTGGCAAGAGACATAACTTTATACTTGTACAGCATTATCTTATAAGCCAAACAAGTCTTTTKCTGKGAGATTGAGCTTCAGGCATTGGAATTTTATCATGAATATGGGCCGATTGTGAGCGTCTTCGCCAAAGCATCGTTTTTCTCAAAATCGGCTAGAAGAATTTCCATGATTTTGAGATATATTATTAGCTATAACCTACAGTTAAACGCGGTACTTTTGGTATTTCTAGGTGCCATCGAAATTGGCCGGAAAACAGCTTTCTTTGAATTCTTTCTTTCTACCAAAAAACTGCTATTTTTGCAGTAAATTAAAACAAAATACATGTTTTAAAATTTTCCAACTAAGTACAACATTGCCTGTTTATTTTAAGGAAATCGAGTTTGATTAAGTTGGTTAAACGGCCGTTTAAAAATGATAGGTGCGCGGGAGTGCCAACCACTATGAAACACCTTAAGCAGACTACTTGCTAATGCATCAGTCTAATGTTAAGATGTGCAAGAGCTTCAAAAACGTTAAGGCCAAATGGACAATGTTTCAAAGCTCCCCTATAAATATATTATAATTATTACCATTTTATTATTCTTTTTTTTCCTGACCGAGCAAAATTATTGCACATTAGTTTGCTGGCATTAAAACAGGCCTGTTTTAATGCCTGCAAACTGATGTGCAATGATTTGTGAAGCCCTGTGCASCTTGTAAATTGTCTAGAGCATTAATTTGATATATTTCTTTGTGTTTTTTGTTTCAGATGAGAAGTCAGCATCTAAAAAGAGAAAAAGAGAAAGGTAATGATAATACACCAGTGGCTCAAAGTCACACTCTTTCAATCAATAACAACAAAGAAAGAGTCCAAAATCCAGCTGTAGCTTCATTATGAGTGTAGACCAACCAATCTATTTTGTAATTATAATTATATGAATTATATTCCATTTATATCACACCAAAAAAACTACCCACTTTTACCAATGATTTTGATTTGCCATTTAATTACTAGTTAAAGGTATTTTCAATTTTAATTACTTAAAGCTTGATTTTGGTTATTTTATGGGTCAGGTGACCTATTTTATACACAGTTTTACCAGTGAAATGATCTGTCAGTCTAATAAAATTAAATGTTTTCTTAGTGAGTCAAGTGATACATTAACCAAAGCAGCACCAGCAACCAACAAAGCAAAGACTGCTGAGTCTGAGGATGACCTCCAGGTAATGTTCTGATGTGAATGCTGTTAAGATGATGATGATGATGSTAATGATAACGATTAWKRAARAWWAWWAWRTWRRAWGTTTCATRATGATAATCATATTGTGACAATTATAATTAATTTATATTAATTATATTCATTACTGTTATCATTATATTAGGCCCTGCTCTCCATGCCGACAATGAAGGAATTGGAGGTGAGAATGGAATAGCCTTTTATTGTGACAAATAACCAAGCTTTAATGTTACAATCATTTGTCTTTGACTAGCCTTAACAAGCCTCTATGTCCTGGTCCATATACACTATAGCACACTATTTATATCATTATTTATCGCCACTGTTTTGATTCTAGACAAAAAAGGTTGGGACAGAYATYTTGGATCTATTGAATGTCCCGTCACACAGGGTAAGCTACATTATCAAGATAGTATGTTGATGGCAACAACAGGAACAACAGTGGTGGTTTTCCTGTTGTCGTTAGTGATATTGTACATCTAAACAATAGTGTTGTTATTGTAATCAGATATTTGAATTATTGCATACTACCATAAACATACAATATTTTCTTTCTTTATTTCACTCATTGATAAAATAAATAAATTTATATACTAGACTTTTGATTCTATCTTCTTTTTTTAAAAAAAATGAACAAATCATTCTCTCTCCGTTCTTTGAAGTACAAAGATGTGTCCCAAAGTATAAATAGTCCACTTCATGGATAACACAGCTATTAGAAATTGAGCAAATATCAAAAAACTATTACCACCACTGGAAAGAACAGTATGAAATTATTATGTTTACCAGGTTTGAGCATTATTCGATGAAAAGTCAAGGAGATACAGTGTTTAAAAGTCGGCAAAATTTACAAAGAAATGTATGGCTGTCGGCATGAGATCGAGGTTTACCTTGACTTGTTATTACAACGTCGCCAAACATTTCTATGCAAAATTTAGGTGTTTTGAATTTAAATCAGATTATTTTCAAACTTGGCAAATTTGCTGATTTTATGACACTCTTTCCAGATGTACCATATGCACCATAACGACGTAATGTAAAATTTCGAATTATCCGCGAAGTGGACTATTGACTGTTTTTGTTTCTGAACAGGAGCAAAATACAGTTGCAAAGTTCAGATCTCAAGGTGGTGCATTTGTGCAYGAATTCTGTGAGCATGGAACAAGAGCAGAATGTCAGAAAAACAAACCAACAGAAACTTGTAAAAAGGTAAAAATATGATCGTAGACACAATTTATTTAGTTGTTTTAGTTACTATAAAATTAAAGTATGTATCAGTTGTAAAAAGAGTTGTCTGCCTATGAGAAAGTGTGATCAATACTCAGTGTTTGTATGGAAKAAAAAGATACAAAAGTCATGTACTGGATTTTGAAAGGTTTCAATAATTATAGGGCTGTCCACTTATGAGAGTTTTTAATTAGTGGAGATTCAACTTTGATACCTCAATTTTTGTAAGGGCTATAGGACTTCAAAAGCTTGAACCTATCCCAGATCTAAAATGTTGATCCTACCCCATACTAAACGTAAGAATTGTAACCCTACCCAGTTAAACTACTGTATTGGGAGCTAATAGGGGGTAATAGTATTTAATAGAGTATAATTCCTATCACAGACCCGATGAAAATGACTCTAAAAACATTGACTATTGCTCGTTTTCAATCATCCTCATGAGATTCAAAAGATAAAAGACCGBCRGMCATGTTGRTTGAATGAACAATAGATACTAATTAGAAATCCTTTGTTGAAGTTCAACCAAGATGGCGGCTGTGACGTATATTGCAAACGAAGAATACATGCACCTATTTTAAATTTGATTTTATCCATAACTATAGGTTCACTTTAGAAARATACTTCAAAAACACACAGATGGTGAGTTATAGCAACAATGTGAAGAGTCTTACATATACTATCAGGCAATGTAATTTAATTGATATTTACTTTTAATGAATATATTCTCAGAATCCCTGGGTGACTGCTCTTTTCTCAACACATGTTTTCATATGGATACATGCAAGGTTTGATCTCATACTTCTTGATTTTAATCTTATTYGCTTAAAATTAATAATTCTATATCCTATGAATAATTATATTTACAACACTCATTACCCTATGTACTATGTAGCTTGCACCAGTTTAACGTCAGTCTTCTCTTCTGGTTTAATTTATAAACCACGGCTTCAACAAAGCTAATAATTTTCTTTGTTTGTCCAGTATGTACACTACGAGGTAGATTACAATGATATGGCAATGAAGAAGAARGAAGAACTGGAAAAAGAGAAAAGTAAACAAGGGGTAATGTAAATAATGGAGCTTGTGAATCCCTTAGTAACACACTCTGTACCTAACAATGTACATGAATTGTTTACAGACTCAAATTTCAAAGAGTGAACCAAGCAAAATCATATTATATCCCCCACAGGTAAGAATTCAAAATAGTTMMTTCAMAGGATATTTTTCCTATATTTYTTTTTCTGGCTCACTTAAAAAGTACCAGAACTAGCTTTCTCATCATCTATCATTAAGCATCAACATTTTTTTGACGAAAAATGGGTCATTTTTGAAAGCATCAACATTACATTATTGTATATAATANAAATTTAATGTCATGAAGGAAGCCATTTTTAAGTAAATACTTCAAAGTCCTTGACTTCATTGTTATTAGCAAGATTGAACATTCCACCAGAAATTATTCTGTCAGGTGTCATACAAACAATTACTTTTGTCCAATATTTTTTTTTTGTATTCTGGCTTGTCTGACTTGATATCATTTCTTGTATTGCAGTACATACAGTGCGATATCAGGTCATTAGATTACTGTGTTCTTGGAAAGTTTTCTGTCATCATGGCTGACCCACCTTGGGATATTCACATGGAGGTACACTACGAATCATTGTTGTTTTTTTCTTTATCATCAGGATCGTCATCACCATCATTGCCAACTTTCATTAGTATTGTATCGGCCTGCATTTCAACTGGTTTCCCTTTTTAAAAAAGCTTTTGTTCATGTTTGAAAGTTTAAGTTGTTGTTCAACTCATCAGCACTGATAATGTTTGGGTATGGATACTGACACACCAATGAGGATGTCTGTGCATGGCGATGAGGCAGTAACCATGGTAACTAGCATCCATGGTAACCACTGACCCCTGTCAGAAGTTTATACAGTTAACTATACTTACCTTGGAGTGGTGTGGGTGGGAGCATCAAATTAAGAGCACACATTGATCCAGGCTGGCAGGGCAGCCACCCCATAATTACCTTCACAACAACTGCTGATTAGCATGGAAATGGTCTGAGCAGTCTGATCTAGCAATCCATTCAAAAGCCATCACTTTTTGAGTCAAATCCACTCCTTATTTGTAATTATATTACTGTTTTGCTCAGCTCCCATATGGCACAATGTCTGATGACGAGATGAGACAGCTCAACATCCCTGCTCTACAAGACAATGGATATATATTCTTGTGGGTCACTGGAAGGTTAGAAAGAATTTGAACTTTAAGGTCTAGTTGTAAAAAGAGTGGATAAAGCTGTCCAACAGTTAAGGTTATCCAATCCTGTTAGCTGGATAAGGCTTTATCTGATGGATAACACAATTCACTCGTCATAGAACTAGTGACGAATGTTGACTGAGGAGTTCTTTTAATTTGAAAACATTACATGCTCTTGTTTGCTACAAAGTGTGATGTGCAGTCAGCTGCTCACATAAGACTGAGACACCCTTTTGACAAGCCTGTGATAGTGGAGTTTGTTTCGTGCTTTGTTTTCCAAACTTTAAGGGCACCTTAAGGCCTGTTACACTTGCGATTTTTGCAGCCTCTTTGTTCTCACGCACCTTAAATCATACTTGTAAACAGCCCTGCGATTGTAGCTGTGATGGAAATCGCTGTGAGTTGCAGCTAAATTTTGAGCATGTTTGAAACACTCGCACTTTAAAAATCGCAAGCGTAAACGGCCTTCAGTGGACTACAATTGATGAGTTTAAGTGTTGTGGCTTGTTTGTTTGTCAATCATGTAGTGAGATTAAAGCAATGTATGCATTATTATCTCCTTTTTTTATTATGACAAATTATTATCCCCCTTGCTGTCAGATTTTTCTCCATGTGTCCTTGACTTCCTGCTCTTCTACCGAAAACAAGTGTCACATGTTTCATTCAATAAACATTTAAAAAATCTTTTTCTATAATGATTGTTTGATATTGTTGTCTAGAGCAATGGAATTGGGTAGAGAGTGCTTGGAGTTATGGGGGTAAGTGTATTATAAATATGTCTATTGTTTATGATAGCTAGTGCACAAACAATCAATTAGTTTTCTGAAATTTCCNATTATGACAAATTATTATCCCCCTTGCTGTCAGATTTTTCTCCATGTGTCCTTGACTTCCTGCTCTTCTACCGAAAACAAGTGTCACATGTTTCATTCAATAAACATTTAAAAAATCTTTTTCTATAATGATTGTTTGATATTGTTGTCTAGAGCAATGGAATTGGGTAGAGAGTGCTTGGAGTTATGGGGGTAAGTGTATTATAAATATGTCTATTGTTTATGATAGCTAGTGCACAAACAATCAATTAGTTTTCTGAAATTTCCAATGTAAACCCCTTCCCTCCTGCAATAACTTTCATTCAGGAATTTCTCATTGCTTGATAATAAAAAGATAGAGATTTCCACCAAATCTATAGCAAGACATACCATTTGATAGCATCTATCCTACAACTTTATAGCATAAAATGGATAACCCATCCCAGTATTTGATACATTTTCGTGTCTTGTTATGCTGCATGTTTAGATATGAAAGATGTGATGAACTTATCTGGGTGAAGACKAATCAGCTACAAAGACTGATMAGAACAGGAAGGACAGGGCATTGGCTCAACCATGGAAAAGAGCACTGCCTGGTATGAACAATTATGTGATTTTGGAAGTGATTTTGTGATTACAGGAACAATTAGTCACTTGTAATCTAGGGCAGATCCAGGAGGGGCAATTAGGGTCCATGTACGCCCTTCTGGTGCTGATTGACCTAACTATGAACATGATGAATGTTTCTATTTTATRACTTTAGGTTGGCGTGAAAGGTGATGTTTCAGGATTTAACAGAGGTCTAGACTGTGATGTCCTTGTWGCAGAGGTATGAAAGAGAATTTGATTCATTGGGACTTTCACACATTTAAGCAGTATGACGAGAAGCTAGCATTATTTATCCATTGGTTTGTCTTTCACATTTTATTTTTCAGGTCCGAGAAACAAGCCACAAACCTGATGAAATATATGGTGTCATTGAAAGATTGTCTCCTGGAGGAAGAAAGCTAGGTAAGACATGACTCTGTAATACCCTACTTCAGATAACAGTGAAAATAAT